TGAGAAAACTGTAACAGGTTATTACGCTTCCCTGTTAAAGTAAAGTAAAGTAAAATGGTAGCTGTAATCAAACTAAATCAAATGCGTATGTCGATAAAGATTTGGGACTTTAAAGCAGGGAATAACCAATAAGTGGCAGTGAGGGGATGGATAAATACACTAACGAAGAAATACGTTGTCGCCAAATTACGAAGCAGGAGTTTACACAAGAACAAAGAAAAGTTTACTTTTGAAGGGTATCAAGGATAAAAACATTCCCCAAAAATGCAGAGACAGAGAAAAATATCGGCTTGATTGTTGTAAATAGGGTATAGGTGTGTTGAGGCTACTAAAGTGTGGAAGCATATCAGTACCTCACATGTTTCTTTTGTACTCCGCCTTCTTTAAGTTTTTATCCGCCATCTCCCAACAATTTGGTTATTCGTCGTTTAAAGGAGAAATGCTTTATCTGCAGCATTCACTATGCATCACTTAACAATGTGGGCTTGGTAATTTCCTCATGCCGTAAAGTATTTTGATATAAATCACCTTCTGGGTCGTCCATAATTTCGTGGAAAAATTCAAAGGTTTTACTGAGCAAATATACGAGTCATATTTTTTTCAAGGAGGCAAGTGTGGCTCACTGTAGGTCAAAGAAAAGTTGTAGAGAAATATGCACCTAGTGTATATAAATAATTCTTAAAAACTGGATCATTGGATAATGCAATTCGAGACTTTTTCTTGGCTTAGCCATTATGGTATATGAGCCATTCATAAATTCAAATTTATGAGACAAAAGTAAAGGCTTTGTAGATGAAGTGGACTGCAAGTTTTCTTTATTTTAACAGAAGGTGTTCATGGAAAATACTACTTGCTTCTTCCTGCATTTCCTAAATATTTAACGGATATATTTGTTCTCACCTCTCTACACTCCTGTTTACTGGTTACAGACTCCGATCAGATGCACTTTTCGTGGAGAAATAATCAACCACATCATTATCACAAAGTGAAAACTGATTTCCAAATTTCATGTGAAATCTCATCTCTAAAAATGAGGGGATAACGAATAGATCCCCAAGCTGGTATGAAATTGCAAAAAAGCAATTTTAAAGAATAAGCTAAAAAGAAAAGCTAAACTTTTATCAGATGGAATACAATTAATCACATCAGTTGTTGAAGCTTCATTGTTGAACGTGAAAGAACGTCATTCTATGAAAGTTGTGTGACGGTGGAATATTACTCAGCTTAAATTTTTCACCGTCTTAATTCTTAGGCCGAATAGAAGTAGCTTAGTATTGTCGTTACGTTACGTCCAAATTGTAAGATGTTCACGTTAAGAGTGGAAAGAAGAGAGTTAGTTTTAAACCCGCACGAGTTGGCTCTTAAAACAGTTAGATCATATGCAGCTCTCTCGGGTCTCTTGGAGTTGCAGATCTACTTCCCGTCCGGATGAAAACGGTACGCATTAGTGGTCTTCAACAGACCGCAAAACTACGTTTCAAGCGGTAATATGTTGATGCAAATCTGGCCTCCAATCGTGGAAAGCGTACGCAATGTTTGATATAATCGGTTCCGTGCATAACCAAAAATGTGATGGGTGGCGGCTTTTTGACAGGGATCGTATTGCTCTTTGTACCATCGCAGATGTAACAATTAAGGGTAATTAATTTCAAGTACTAGCTTGGTTTTCTGGTTAAAACTAACTAAGAGAATCCATAATATAGTTAAAAACACTGTAATAGTTACCTTATGACATCGGTGCTTCACATACGCCGATAGTCACTCTCGACTGAGATAATCAGTGTGGATGAGCACAAACCTTGTACAAATGAG